TGATGATGTAAACTTCTTGGCAATTGTAGAAATGGAAACAGAATTATAGACAAATTTTATCTAAAACAAAGGTAAAATTTTCCTTAGTCTCTTTCATATTCAGCAAAGATAACTGTAGTTCCTTTTTTATACAGGCATAAGAATAAGGATTCCCCCACTTTTTTTTTTCAGTCTTTCAATTATAGATTTAGGTTATTTGAAAATTGCCTAGCTCCTGGATTTAGTAATTTTAAATGAAATGCTTTCAGTTATAGTGAATAGGAGCCCAATTATTTTATATTGACATATGTAGTTTACTACCTTTCTCTCTACTTATTATCATCTAGCTACTGGAAAACAGCTAGTTTTCTTCAATTATTTAGAAACCTGCAGTAAACATGATTTAGTTCCAAAACACCAAGTATATTTTAAATGCTGCACTGAAGAGGATTCAAAGTTTTAGAAATTCATCACAAACCTTTAAAATAGTTTCTGGCTTGCCCAGAAATACTTTTTGGGTGGTAAGAATCCAAAGTTGATGAATGTCATTATATATCCACTGTCCTTGGGGTTGCTGCACAGCCACTCACTGCTTTAAAAGCTAGGTTTTTTTTTAAATGACTGAAAGGAAAAGAAATGATTGTTCCATTTTTTTTCTCAAATGAAGAAAAATATGTGTAATATATTTAAAGCAAAGTTATTTTCTAAGTTTTAAAATTATGAATAGCAGAAGACAGGTCCATCACAGTTTGGCAAAAGAGACCACTTTGATTTTTGCAAGGTTCAAATGCCTTTTGAAATTAAGAGTAATTTTTCAACAATAAAAAAACATTTGCAAGTGAGTTTTATTTTACAATTATGTCAATTAACATTTCTGTAGTGCTAAATAACAATAAAATGTTCTCACATTTGCTATCTAGTTAGTATAGTGAGCAACGCAGGTAGGCAGATAAAATGAGTATCATCACCACATCCCCGCTAAACTGGATGAAGAACAGTAAATGTTTAGAGTACTCAAATATAGTTTAAAATTGTAAATCCCATTTTTTTCACATTAATTCATAGCAATTTATTTCTTAAATATCATTTATATATCACTACTCTAAGCAATTATAGCTAAAATATTTTCAGGTCAGCTGGCAAAAATAAATATACTAGAATAACAAACATTTCCCAGAAATATTATGACTAAGTCCTCAGAAAAAATGTTTAGTATAGTCAATTTCTACATTGATTATAAGAGGAGAAAGACATCAAAACAATATGCACAAGTGTTTTGATTACAGGTATAATTTCCCATAATATAAAATTAAAGTCTAGATGTTCTTTAACTTCAATTTCTTCTGAAAACTTAACACAAATAAAGGCTAATCATTAGACAGAAACTGTATTAAGAAAATTTCTTTTTTATGTAAATATAAGTATCAGTCAATTTATCCATTAGCAGAAAAAAGATTTTTATCATTTTTTTAAAAACTGGTTTATATTATCTTTGAGGTTTAAGGGAAGAGGTTAAGTACAAAATCAATGTTTTAAATTATATATATATCTACTTGCACAATAAAAAATACTAGTAAAATAATGGTAACTTCTTTACTAGGTAATGAAGCAAAAATTTGTTACATGATATTTCAAGTACATGTAGATATAGAAGTTAAGTGAACTGTTAGATTAGATGACAAAGTAAGAAAGTATTATTAAAAGGGATCAGTGTATGGTTACTGATTATTTTTTTTTTTTTTTTTTTTTATAGAGGCATGCTTTATTTATTTGTTTGCTGGTTTGTTTGTTTGTTTTGTTTATACATGCACTGGGTACAGTCAGAAGCGCGGGAGGGCGAGAGAATTCACCAGAGCCAGAGCGGGGAGCAGAGCAGGCAGAAGGACCGAAGTACACTGCTGAGGGGAGCAGCGGGCGGCAGGAGAGGTCTGCGCGCCATGTGGGACCCTCCTCTGGTGGCCGGGGAGCAGCCGGGGATCGAACCGGCGCCGCAGAGGCCGCGCGCAGCTTCGCAACCCAGCGCTCAACCGCTGCGCCACCGGGGAGGCCCTGGTTACTGATTATTTTTATAGAAACTTTTAAGCACATTGCTGTTTCAACTTCAAGCTCATAAATTATTTATATATATATAATATATATAAACATATACAGAGAGATAGTTCAATTATTTAAAGGTATTTTTTAGCTATAGTGGCATCATCTTCAAAATTCTGTGTTGTCCACAGTCATAGTAAATTAATATTCACATGAACTTTTTTTACAGAGAAATATTCTTTTAAATGAATTATTAACCCTAAAACTCAGCTCTACTCTCCATTTTCAAGTTGTTTTCAATGGTTTTTAATGAGATAAAGATTATAAATATTATAGACATCTAAATTTTTCCAATTTACCACTTGTCAGAGGTTTTATTTTACTTTACTATGTATAAGAAATGTACTTTATATAATTTGTTAATTTAAAAAATATGTTTATTGAGGAAACATTGGTATACAGCACTATAAATGTTTAAAGGGTAAAGGTTTACATATTTACAAATTTATGTTATCAGACTACCCCACCATCAAAGTACTCACAATCCTCCACCATAGTCTATTGAGCACCCTCCCCCATTTTTTCCCACCACACCACCCTCCCCTTCTGTGGCCTCAACTTGATAACTATTTTAACTTTTATATGCACTCATAAAAAAGAAATCATGTCACTTGCTTATTATAATATTTGTTTTATTGCAGTGGCATGGAAATGAACACACAGTATCTCCAAATCACACTGGTAGATGTTTTCCCATATTTTTGTATTTCTAAATGTACTCAGTGGGTTTAATCCAAAATATGGTAGATATGTGACCAAATACAAGTACTAAATGTTAAATGATGTATAGTAGTTTTGGCATCATTATGTAAAAATTATCTTGAATGCTCCAATGAATACCTCTCAATCTTCTAAATGGCAGTAAAAAGAAGTTACTATAGTAGAATATCAAAAAGTGTCTTGATTATAAGTTGATGTCTAAATCTATTAACAAAACACAAATGAGAAATGTAGTTATTTAGGTAAGATTAGGAAATCAAAAGTTATTGAAAGTCAAATCCCTTAAAGTATAATTCTTTCACGTGCACAGTTCTATAAATTTTGACAAACATATACTATCACATAAGTACTAAAACAATCTGGACATAAAACACTTTCATCAGCGCAAAAAGTTCCTATATACTACTCTATAACTAACAGCTTCTAACCCCAAACCTGATAATTCTGATCTATTTTCTGTTCATATAGTTTTGCTGTTTCTAGAGGTCATATAAATGGAATAGTACAGGATATAGACATTTGAGTCCCACAAAATCAAATTTTCACTACTACACCACTCTATGGTACTAAAGTTTTATCATCATTCTGATATTTTCTTTCCTTATACAGAAGATCCTCAAATAACATTGTTTCTTTCAGTATCACTGCAATAACAACTGTAATAACAAGGATGAGAAAAACAAATGTGTGGAGTTTACACAGACATACAGTCTCCTTACAACAACATGGGTTTATGATGGGTATTCTGATTTCCTCCTACATCTCCAAGATGTGCATGTTAGGTTCCCTAGCAAGTGTGAATTGTTCTGGTCTGAGTGCGTGCATGTGTGTGTGCACACTGTAATTCCAGGTCATCTCTTCCAGGATTGATTCCAGTCTTGCTTCCTAAGCCGCTGGTATAGGCTCTGGCCACCTGTAGTAAGTGGTTTCAAAAATCAATGAATAGGGCCTCCCCAGTGGCACAGCGGTTGTGCACTGGTCTTCGAAGCTGCCCGCAGCCTCTGCAGCGCCAGTTTGATCCCCGGCTGCCAGGCGAGGGTCCACATGGCGCGAAGACCTCTCCTGCCGCCCGCTGCTCCCCTCAGCAGTGTATTTTGTCACTCTGCCTGTTCTGTTCCCCGCTCTGGCTCTGGTGAATTCTCTCACCCTCCCATGCTTCTGATTCTACCCAGTGCTTGCATAAATAAATAAATAAATAAATCTTTAAAAAAAAAAAATCAATGAATACAAATTATTCTTTAATATTAGAACTATTTTAGGTTTTTACTTAGAAGTTTGATGATGTTTTTGTGACCAGAATTATACAATAAGAACTTAACTCTTGTTTATATCAAAAAGTCTATGGGAAAATTGGTTTCACTAGATATCGCTTTGCTAAAAGTCGTAGTTTACACAACTCTGTAGAAAAAAACTAACGAAGGACTAACTGTATTACTAACATTTGCCATGGCATATTTTCCAGTTATTCTATTTTCGATTCTCAGCTCGAAACCTTATCACTGTTGCAATAACTTATTTATACATCCATAATAAAACTAAGAAGACTATTATAGTTATTTACATACAGTTCCTTCTTCTCACTAGACTGTAAGCTAGATGTATGACTTCTAGAACCATTATGCAGTAACTTTCCAGTGATGTTAGCAGTGCAGATGACAACACTGAGAAGATATTTTCCACTGTGTTATTAAAAAAAAAAAAAAGTTAAAGGTGAAAGGGAATTAAGTGATGAACACATTTACCCTCTAGATCAGATGTCTACTTTTAGTGAGAACTCAAAAAAGGGTAATAGGATACAGAGGATCCAAGAACTACAATGCCGACTAACCAGGGGTGCAAATGTTAGTGGAGATTTAACCTCCACCAGTATTATTACCCCAATTGCCACTAGTTTTCAGTTTGCTAACAAAGTTGAATATTTTGAAGTAGTCTACCAAATATGACTTTTCTCACAAACTCTGTTACTTCTGGTACATTATTTTATACAACAAAGTTTTTTCTGGAATATATGTATCACCAAATAGTAGAAATAATCACATAAAGGTACAGACTAATAAATTTCATGCCTCTATCTAAAAAGTTATATATTGATAAACATTAATCTTCATGTAGTAAATAATGAAATTTAACAGGTTTATGTTTTAAGTAGATAAATAAAACAGTTTACTACCTCTTTCAAAATATTTTAATGTTTTCAAAATACTTACTGAATTCTCCACTAAGAAAGACTCCTTCTGCTCCTGGGGCCCATTCCTTGCAGCGTAATCCACCGTTAGCACATCTATGGACACCGAAAGATTCATAACCTCTGGAAAACTTATCAATACCACCTTCATTCTCTCCAATGCTGTCCAAAGTCTGGTTGAAACGCTTATACCTTTGAAAAAGTGCAAGAGAAAGGAGTTTGAAAATTTAAATCACCTCTCTGAAAAACTACTGTAATTAAGTAGCTATTTTATTCAGAAAATCCATCGTTTAAGAGGAATAATGTGAAAAATTTAATTTACTGATAAGAGATTATCTGTAGGATAAAAAGCAAACTTATCTCAAATAAACTGAACTGATCCAATCAACAAATTTTGTCATTGCAAGCATTCTGGTATATAAGAGGAAATAAGGAAGGTTAGGTCATCTCATTAATTTTTAAAAATCAGCATTATTCTAATGTCCATGACCAGATAATATAGTGAAGCAGAATCCCTGTAGCTTTCCCTTCTAATTCCTAAGAAAATGAAAAAAATAGGAAAAAAAATAGCAAGGGGCAGAAAGTAAATGTTTTAGGTTTTTTCATTCAAATGGTCTCTGTCACAACCACTCAACTGTGTCTCTGAAGCATGAAAGTGGCTATAGACAATATGTAAATGGCAATGGGTGAGGCTGTGTTCCAGTAACACTTTACTGACAAAAACAGGTAGCAGGCCAAATGGGGACTATAGTTTGCTTACCACTGCCCTACAGCAATTAAGCATGGAAAAAACATAGCTTATGTCAAATTACAAAAGAAGGGGTTATAAGCAGTGGTACAAATTCCCACATGAGACAAAGACTAACACATGGCTGCTCCTGACCCACTCTCAGATCTGCCACAGTCCATATTCACAACTGGTATATACAAAATGCTACCCACTTTCACTAATAAACCCTCAAATAGGGAGAAAAATAAATTAGAACAAAACTGGAGAAATGAAGCAAGTAGCATAAGTAAAGGTTACAGAACCACACAATGAATTGAGCAATGTCAATAAACTTTCTGTACTTCCTCATACTCTGATGGCTGAGCAATGGAAGTTCCAGAAAGATAGCAAGAATCCAAATGGCACAAATACAGGGAAAAGACATTCCTAAATACTTTTAGATTATTAGAGAACAATTTGGCATCAGCTATGAAAATGTGAACAACACAGTCTTCAATTAAGTCATTTTTTTCTAGAAATTTACACTTTGACTATATCACACAAGGAAGCAAAGACATCTATGTGTATGATGATATTCACTATGGCACTATTTATAACAGCAAATCGTGGAAAACAGCATACCTGATCAACAATAGGAAACTACTTGAATAAACTGTACATCATCCAATAACAAATTACACAAGAGTCATTAGGAAGCGCGAGAAAGAGTGAAATGTGCTAATACAGATAGCAGCCCAAGTTAGCCTGCTTAGGGAAAGACATTGCAGGATGGTTTTCCACAATGCATCAATTTATATAAAGAAAACATAAGTCTAGCTACAGATGATATATAGATCTATTTCATAGATCCTCTTTCTCCTTTCTAGTGGTTAAATTCTTCCAGCCCACATCAAGCAAGGGCTACCACTCACCACATCTGCTTCAGCATCAACAGATAGACCTCAGAATCCAAACAGTGGAAAGCAGTGGTGTGGGAGTGGTAGGTATGCATGGAAATTTTCATATATGACCCTCTCTGTATTGTATATACACATAAAACACAAATATACACAAAGCAAACAGGCTCAAATGTAGGCACACAGACACATAGCTAGTTTTTAAAAATGTACACTACATTTAAAAATGTAAACTACATTTTTTTGTCTTTTTCAATTTTAATGCTTTTTTTCTTTTAACATCATTGATCATTTTAAAACAATATTTGCTTCCCCCAACCCCCTCAGATTTAGTCCCCATAGTATTTTCTTCCCCAATGTAAACTACATTTAATCTATTATTTGAAACAAATTTAACTTTCAATGAAATGAATTATTCCAGTCTCATTAACAGCCCTTTGTCCAGGTAACATAAACTGAACTGCCTATAGGAGCCAGGCAGGTAGCTGAATTTGAGCAGCTATGTGAGCAGGTGTCCTGGTAGAAGAAACAAAAAAGGGCAAGCCTGACTAATAAAGAATGACCAATCGGTAGGTCTTAGAGCAAGGAAAACTATCCACAAAGGAACTGTAGTGAGATGGAGAGAACAAAAACAGCAGTCTCCTCTTAGTACGTATAGTCATTGTTACCAAGTATGCTTTGCCAAATCATGTAATTATTATGAACAACAACAAAAATAAATTTTTCTACTAACTCTCCCTAATTAGCAACTGTTTCAAAATACTAAAAACACTGACCTGAACCAAAAACAACAACAACAACAAAAAACAGATCTACATTCCTAGTGAGATAATATTATCCCAATTCTCTAATATTATCCATATTCTCCAAGTCCTATGAATGATTTTAACCCCTTAGAGATAGATATTCAGCTATCATTTGGTGTATGAAAACTCTAATATGTATTAAACAACATTAAGTAATAACATTAAATAAAAAGATCAAACAGTAAGGAGCAATCAAAAAAAAATAAACTTAGTGTAAAAAAATAAGCACACATACATATCCTCATTATAAAAGGAAAATTACTGATTTTTACAAAAAAGTTGTAAGTAATAGGCTAAGTAATAGGGTAAAATCTCATTTTCAGAGTGGCTATATTTCAAATATACATTTTTAAATTCACTTACAGTTTAAACTTAAAAAATAATCTTTCTTGAGAAGATTCATAAGATATATACAAATGCCCCATTTATTAAAAATTCAACAGAAACAGGATTAGAACATTTTATTACTTTAACTAAATATCTTGACTTCCCTCAAGGTCAGCCCTATAGCTTCTCATACAGAAATACACATTCCACTTTGAAATCACTGTGGCTCAAAAAAGAAAATGCCTGAGGATACAGCAAGCTCATCATGCCTGTGCCCTCTCCTACTACAGCCATCTCTCTTAATATTTTGCTATGAATTTACAGGATATTTAAAAACTGGGTCAAATCCTTGGTAACCACAAGCATAAAATATAGTATACAACTAGCATTTTGTACAGATATAAAATGTTGCAAACATTGGTTCTGATTTCTACATTGGTGTTTTTAATCCTCTTTTGGGGCACAGATAAATATGTAAATTGTTCAAGTTCAATTAGCAATATAGATGTAACATTATTCATCACAAAAGCAATACCTTAAGTATATCAAGAGACAAAGTATGAAAATGAAAAGTCACATTTTCCTTTTAAAGAAAAGGAGAATTTTAATTGACAGCCCTTCTAATTTCACTTATAAGGCTAATAATCTTACAATTAAAAGAATTCTAGAAATAGTATAGAAATAAACAATAATTAAACAATCCTAACTCTGTTACATACTGTATGTGGTCTTAAACAAGTCACTTCACTTTTCCTTAATTTCTCCCCCTTGTTAACTTGGGAGGAATATCACAGGTCATAAGGAATAACTGAAATCACACTTAGAGTCATTGCTACAGTAGTCATTAAGTACTCAAAAATTGTAGGCTAACTTTTTTCCCACCTCAATGACCAGTATGTGTTTATTTATTTTTCACTTACTCACTTACTTAGATTTTAATATTTATATGAATTGTTAACAAACATTAAGGAATTATTCCCTCAAATTCCAAAAGTATTTGTAAATCCTTGTTTTATTCAGCTACAAAAATTACAAATTTAAGCAAACTAACACATAATACATACCAGAACTAGGTACACCATATAACTTGTATTGACTATGGAAAGCTTGGAAGAAAATTAAGTACATTAAATTGAAAGGGGAGGGGTGGAGGAGAGGAAGTACTTCAGGGAGATGCTAGAGATAGGTATGGAGAAAAGCAAAAAGAAACAAGCTAAAATCTTTGCTCTCCTAGAAGGCAATTCATCCTAGATCAGTACTGAACTTCTAAATCCAGGCAGAGTTGTGAACATAGGAGGCAAGTCAGGGAAATGAACCATAACTTATCTGGAAATGTCTAGAATGTAGAATCCTTTTTCAAGTGCATTTGAGTGGGCCTGAAACCCAGGGACCCATGGGAAAAATTTCTTCCTTACTAGCTTAATTTTTTAAGGCTTTATATTGTCATCTGCTTCCTAGGGTATACTTGGAATAGAGACAAGAAAAAGCACAAAAGTAAAAGCTCAACAGGAACTTTTAAAGACTAAAAAGGGAGGAAATAAGGTTAAAGGAGAGGGAAATGGAATTCTTTTGAAAGAAAAAATACAGCTTTTAAATCAGCCTTTCTAAGACTTGAAAATATCTGGCAGAAACATTCTTCTTTAGGTAAAAAACATACAGAATACACAAAATTATCTGTATATTAAGACTGTCAAATTAAGATTACGTATTTGAGATTTAAGGTCAAGGCCCTTTTCTCAATGATAAGTATTCAACAACCCCCTAAAATAAACATATTTATGACAAAAGATTTGTTGTGTGCTGGTCAGTCAGTTACATGAAACAAGATCCTTCCATTAAAAAGTTCATCTTTCCAATGGAGGCCTGAGCTAAGCTAGTGTTAATAGAAGAATAATCAAAACAAGAAAATACTGTGAGAAGATATTAGAGAATGCCTTAGGGAATATTTGGCATTTGTGCTCTATTCTGAAGTATGAAGAGTATATTCTGAAAACTGAAGAAAAGGCAGAGCAGGGCATACCATGCAAAAATTAGATGGTTCTTGTAGACGTGATGTGTAGCAAGATGTGGCCACAGCAAGAGAGTAGGTAGGAATCCAGTAGCTACTCAGGAGAAGATGGCTTTTAGCTAGGTAACAAATAAAAAATAAAAACTTTTAAGGATTCACAGAGAAAATAACTGACATTATCAGAGGCATGTTTTAAAGAGAGCAGTTTAGAGGGCGAATTTTAGTTGACAGAGTCCAAGTTAATGAAATCTTTATTAAACACATAATATTAAAATCACAGGGATTTGTGAACAACACGTACTTTAAAAGATTGATAAATGTGGGCCTCCCCGGTGGCGCAGCGGTTGAGCGCTGGGTTGAGAAGCTGCCCGCAGCCTCTGCAGCGCCGGTTCGATCCCCGGCTGCTCCCTGGCCACCAGAGGAGG